TTGGTATAAGAAGTTATTAAAGAGAAAACAGAGAGAAAAAACGTGAACAGACAGAAATGACAAAATCACCTGTCAGACAAAATTCTCTTTATGTCAGATCTAAAGACACCGTGTGTAAATATCTGAATAAACATCTGGACAGATTTCACTTTTTCTTGAAGCTTGACTCTTTCCCCTGTTATTCTGCGTCTGAGTCTTTAATATTAAGTTCAATTAATGTCATTTTATTGAGTTGAGTCCTTCCATCTCTCAACAGTGTTGCTCTCACTCCTTACTCATTTTTATTATATAATTGTAAGTGGTAGTAGTAGTAGAAGTAATGAATCTTTGGCATGAAGCAGAACCTCCCTGGAGAGCAGTATTGATACTGAATGAATTATCAAGGAGAAATAAAGCACCCCATGGACTTGTTGCACATAGATTGAATTCCACACGCTCTCCATTCTGTATTGTATTGCCCTCTGGTGGTGATTATGCAGCAATGTAGGCTCTATAGGTCAAACACAATATCCAAAGTATCAACAAAATAAAATGAAAAAAGACCCAAAATAGGAAAAAACAAAACTTCTGGCTCCAATGAGCGTTCAAGTAAACAAACACAAAACAGGTCATGCTCTATATAAGATGGGGCTCGACGTGTGCCAGATTTTTCGGCATAAAGATCTTTTCGTTATTTCTTGAGAAATTCACAAACATTTCAAAAAAGAAGAAAAAGAAAAAAGAAGCTTGTATTGTTTAAGAAAGTGAAAAAAATAAACAGTGGTTAATGGGTTCTTCATCACTCAGGAGTTAACAGTGTCTGTTCAGTACAGACACATCAGCAGGAGGAAGGTTGGCGCGCTCCTTCATTCTGATATTTAAGGAGTACAATAAAGTCGAGACGTAAACTTCTGTGTAAACTTTTACTCATCACTTCAATCAGTTTCTGACATTTTTCATGTTCTCTAAATGCTCCACGTATGTGCTGGTGAAAAAATATTGCCTGAAAGGCCACATAGGCCGAGAGGAAAAAAGGTGCACTTCCTCTTTCCAGAAACACTCAGAGTAGGTGCATTGTTTCCCCAGAATGAGACGAGGAAGTGACCTGTGATTATCAAGTCTCTAGTTCCTCTTTGTGTCTTGTTTAAACTCACAGCTGTCTTCATCTGGTCCACAGCACACGGACGGGGACGGAGACGGAGAGGCAGACTGTCCCTCAGGTGTGAACTTAACATTTTATTGAGATGTTATTGAGATTGAACAGATTTTTTTTGGGGGGGGGGGGTTATATTTACTTTAACAGATTTTCTTTATTTTAGCCGAACTTTATGAAAATAATTTAATGACGAGTATGTCTCTGCTCTTGGACTTGGTTAAAGCTCCTCAGTGTTGGAACGATGCCTGAGAAGTTTTTAGCAAGTACAGGATCTGTGACCTTCACTGCATCAAGGGTTCAACAGGTGGACGACACTGAAAATAACTGGTGATTGGCATGGCTTAAAATATATGTATTTCAATATATGTCTTTTTTTTCCCTTTTATTCTGCACTGAAATTAAATATTGACCTTGAAAACTGAAACTTATAAAGTAAGATTTTTGCTATGATATGGAAACATCATGGTCTGCGTCTGATTATTCACCAAAGAACAGTAATAGTTTTGCTGTTTCAAGACAATGCACAAGAGGGAACAGTTTTATTTTTATAGACAATAACGAACGGTTTAGAGGCAGACGGGGGGGGGGGAGAACACACAGAGAGGACATCATGACATTTACAGTATGAGCATAACTTCAACACAACACCAGCGTGTGCATCAAGCATCAAACTGTTGGTACATGAGGAGGATTCCAGCAAAACTCAACACATGGTGAAAAGCAAACGTTGTACAGGACAGCTGCATGGAAGCCAATCTCAAACTTTGGATGCAAATACAAATATGTGTGCATTAGCTTGTAAAGCATATTTCCCTGAGCAAAAGGGTCAATCAGCATAGACACACTGAAGTCACTAAGTTCCCCTTAAGCTTCTCTCTGACATTTACTCAGAGGGCACAGGAAGGTGCACGTGTTCAGTTCTTATAGGGAGACACGACAGTCATTTAGAAACCTACATGTAAAACCTGATCAGACATGGTGTTAACATCCGTCCTTAGTTAGCTGATCACATGTGTGAAGACCTGATCACATCTGGGTGTTGTCTATTTGTCCCCTGACGTCCTCTGACGTCCTCTGACCCACAACATGAATTTTAAATATTTTTACATTTCTCAGTGTCAACACAGGATTTGTTTGTCAACAGCAAAACTTAATGATTTATTATTTTTGGGGTAAATCTTTCTTTATAGCGGAGTTACACACAATTCATTCATTCATTAATACCAGGTCTGAACAGGGCCCAGGACCATCCGGCTGTTCACATGTTTTTACCAACTTACTACAAACTGCTGCTGATAATGTTTCCCTCTTCCAGAAAGGCATTGGTTTCCATTCTCATTAATAGTGCATAAAAAAAACCTTAAGAGCAAGTCGGCCATCTAACTGGAATTTGCAATGCACAGTGATGGCTGAAAGCATGGATCAGTTCAGAGCCTATTTTTATTAAAGTGCCAAGAGTCCATTCAGGAACTAAAAATTCTAAATGCGTACAGAGAACAAAATGAAAACGGCTCTTGCTCCGGGCAACTTCCAGAACTTAACTCTGTAGCCTGCTTGTAGTTTGCAGCTTTTAACCAAACACTACAACTCCAGACTTTCACTCACAGTTACCAGAAACTGTAACTGCTCCAAAACAAATCAAAGCAGGTTGGTGCAATCTCTGTCGTAAACTTAAAAAACATGGAGAAAACCAAACAGTCCTTTTGGCTTTGATATGCAATATCTACCTTCAGTCGGTTATTTAGCACAGTATGCTGTTCTATGCATGTTCAGTCAATTTGTTGTACATTAAAGGTTTACTTCACCCAATCACCAATAACTCATTTTCTATTCTATTTATTGCCAGTAATATGTAACCATTCACTGTTAGGTCTGTTGTGACCACAATACAACAGAGGTACATTTCATTTGTGGTCATTAAATACTTTAAATACTTGTTTTTCCACAGTTCACAGCTGGTAGGTTTTGTTTTTGTCAAATGTCATCTTTAAATCTTAACATTAAAAACCCGGAGTCCCATTCACATCTCCTAAGGTAATAGTGAGAATCTCAAAGGAAGATTCCTTGAAATAGCTGCAAACAAAACCTAAACCATATTTTAAATTAGGTATTGCTAAATGGTGAGTTGTTATATCTCATTTGAACAGACCATCTAATAAAAGACAATGTAAACGGACGGCCCATTCGCTTCTGCAGATGAACTTTTGCCAAATGCTCCTTCAAAAAAAGCTGCATAATAAATATTCAGTAGTTAATGAGCAGGAGTTAGTCCAGTAGTCTGGAACTACAAGTCGCATTAAATGCATTTTATCACAGTGCTAAGCACCCCCGATCAGGGCTAGCAAGAGCATCAGGGAAATACCTGTTACCTTGTCTGTTTTGCAGATGAACTCTCTTTGAATCATTAATATGAGGTACCGCAGTGTGTGACAAAATAGATTTTTAAATTAAAAGCATCTGTTGTTTATGTTGGGAAAATCAATGACAGCAGCAAAACATTGTAAAGAACCAAGGCTTCGGAATCTGACTAAAATCATTCAAGCTCAAATCATCCTTAACCTAATGCATAAGATGCATTTCTGAAATCATTTAGGAAAGATAAATAACATTGAGTATTTTCTCACATTTCATTTTCTTCTACGTTATTAGGACACATGAGATCCTTTAGACAACAGAGAGCACATGGAACATGGCATTAGCATGTTTTTCTTAACAGGACTGAGAAGAAGTGCACCGGCGCTCAGTCACTGTCAGACCCACCTCACTCTTCACTGTCTGGGACTCTAGTCGTCCACAGTGATGTTACGGAACAAGTAAGCCATGGACTCTCCGTTGTGGATGCGGCGAATAGCTTCAGCCAGAATCATGCTGACATCCACGGTCTTGATTTTGGGACACTGTAGCTTCTGTACCTCATGGGGGACGGTGTTGGTGACCACCACCTGAGGACCGAGACAGGACAGACATGTTCAGACCTGCACTGACGTCTGGACAAGAAGGAATAAATGACACACTGTTTGAAAACAACTAATTGAGCTGTCCTCACCTCATCAATGGCTGACTCCTCTATGAGGCGTGGAGCATCAGCAGACAGTAAACCATGTGTGGCCATGATGAAAATTTTATAGGCTCCTCTTTCTTTCAGGATCTCTGCAGCTGCAACAAAGTCTCCGACATCATCTATTATATCATCCTGGAAAAAGACGGGAAAAATACAATCTGTAACCAATCAATTAACAATTAAACAATCATAACCCCCGGTTCCAACACACAAACACTTCCTCTTTAGTCATTGATTGATGTGCTTCCTCTTTACCTGGACATTGAATGATCACACACATACGTAGAAGCATCATTTTGATTGGATGCTGCACATGATTCTGCTTCCTCTCCTTGTTATGGGAGGTAAAGGGAAACCGGCATTTTGTTTTAGGTTAGTTTGTTCCTCACAGGATTAGTTGTACGTTTATGATCAAGGGCAGAACACACCAAAACCAAAATACTAATATTATATAACATTATAAAATATTCATTATATATCAGTTAATTACCTCTGTCGGGTAATGATTTCATTGCCATTTGTTTGTCTATTAGAAGGATTAGGGAAAAACTACTCAACCAATTGTCTTAGAAATTGGTGGAATGGTGTGGGACAAGGAAGTTCCTGCTGTATACATGGCAGGTAATAATAATAATAACTACTTTATCATTATAAACTTAAAAATATTTGTCTTAAAGTATATAAGTATTTATATACATACAAGTGTAATAATTAGTATTCATTAATCATGAAAGCTCAACAATGCAAACGATAGAGAGTGAATATGCAATTTTTCAGTAATTTTGCAGCATCTTACCACAATGATGGCAATTCTCCCTCCTACGTCTCCGACTACAGTGATGGGAGGTTTCTCCTTGGCCATCATCACTGAAAAGAAAAGCACAACTGGTTACCTGCAAGATCTCCTATGTGAACCACGTTTCCTCTCATCAAAAAGGAATCTCAGTAGATTGGGTAAAATGGGTTGAGAAAATGTTTTTGCAATTTAGGTAAATTTACACCCCAAAATCATAGGGTTAATGATTGATGTCAAAAAAATTGATTGAAGTAAAAAATAATCCTGTATTTAATTTAAAATAGAAATCAAAAGCCAGCGTATTTCCCCCCATTCTACCCCACCTACCCCAGGGAGATTAGACTGAAATGCTTAACTTAGTACAGAACATGCCATGCAAACAAAATCCAATGACAGGGTTTTCTGCCCAGGATACCCAATCAGAAGTCAATGAACACACAACCTCAGGCCTGTCCTGGGGCAGGAACATGGCAGCAGTCTGCATATGAACCAGTGAGCACGGTCTTTTCTCACACAGGACAACAGAGGCTGACAAGCACTCACGAGGGTCTCTTCATATACACTCGCCAACGTTCTGGGGTCAGTCCTCAGTCGAACGTCGCTGCTGCCAGTGGCTACTTTTACATGCACCCAATAATCAGATCTCCCATCACAGGAGATGCAACACTTGCATTTTTATTTAACCACACCATGTGACACTTACTGAAAAAAAATCCTCTACAGCCCAGGTTGTTGAGGCATCAAAATTTAAGTTTTTATAATAGGACCCAGTCCACAGCTGCAGTTTGAGTATTGGTGTGCATGTAAATGTGATCATTCAAAGGGAACAGGGAAATGAACAACTGGTAAACAATCAGGCAGCGAAGCCGATTGTGAAGGAGGAGTTATACAGAAGCAGAGAGAGGAGGAGCATGCCTTGCAGAACACTTTGCTGAATACCGTGAGTCCCACAGCATCAGAAAACCTGGCAGTGTCACACTCAGACTTCTAGAACAGCAAAAGCCATGTTGTTAGCGGGACACGTTTCTCACAATTATGTTTTCTTACTGAAACAAGCTACCTGAGAAATGTTTGGTCAGATGTCTTTACAATTAATTCAGGATGTCTTTAATTTGTTTAAGAGAACCTATTGATCAACAATCCTGTGATGAAATTTAATATAATAATGGATTACTTGGGAAATTTTAGAAATGACAACCAGAGAAATAAAAGTGTAATACGGCACAAAATATTACTGCTGATAGAATAAGTTCTGTTTTACCACTGAGGTAGCAAACCACACATTTAGCCGTCCGTTCATAACATTTCTGCTTCCCTTCATTAGATGTTGGGTTTCAAACGCATGCGTCATTGTTACCATCACATGCAGTTATGACCAAATGTTAATCAGGTTATTGAGAGCAGGTTTAATATGGATGCATCATGTGTTGATTGGCAAGATGAGTCCAGATAAAGAGGTGAACATGACACAAACAAAAAATAAAAATATCTGGCATGGTTTTGGTTTGATTTATGAATTTCAAATTAAAATCAGAATAAGAAAAAAAAAAAGAGGGTTTGGGCCATCTTGTAGAACTAGCTGTCTGGAATCTTAGGGAGGTGCAGTAAAACATGAGTGTTGCTCATTTCAAATCAAACATGCCATGCAATAGCACATAGTATGAAGCACACTGCGGCTGATAGGCCTGGAAAACTTTCTTCTGGGCACTGACGATTCTTCGCAGTTTTCATAAACTCATCCTCTTGAATCCAGACTGTATTTTCACAAGATGCAACACAAACCCTTGATCTACACATGCATGAACTGAGGAGCCATTAGAGGAGGAATCATTTCGTAGTCAGATGTAAGTTAAGTTTATGGCCGTACTTGGGAGCTCTATGCCAGGGAACGGGGCTTGTTGTTTGCCTGCTATTACCAACAAATAAACACCACGTTAACACAAATGCACAAGTATTTGACATGACAAACACATGATGCCAAGACTTGGAAAATCCTCTCGTCAAGTTTTACAGAATTCAACAGATCGGACTTATTGGGGTAACATTCATAAGTTTCCCAGGGTTGAAGCAATTTGTGTGTTCTTGTTCCAAATGAGGATTTTTTAAGTCGAGGGTAAGAATAAAACACAAGTAAGAATAGAAATACTTTTTACCAAATAATAAAGTGAACACTGGATGCAAATTTTGTGGAGTCATTTGCCAATGACACAGTTATTTGATATTTTCTCAGACTGAACCATTCACTGTACATGGTCTTTCCACAAATGAATACTGCAAATATGTGGAAACTATATGCCAGACTGACGTTAGTATATTTAAAAAAAAAAAAATACAGTATTTTAAATCAATGTATATGTATTGAGAAACAAAATGAGTCTATTATTATTCAGAATGTCACTATTTGTAAGTTATGAGTTGCAGCTTCTGAACATGCAGCGTGAGTAGAGGTAGTTTATCTGTGGAATTAAAACATGCAGTAACACAAAAAACAATTTCTTGGAGTATGAGTTGATGGTATGAGAGAGAAACAGCAGAATCAGCTCTAAACAGGAGTGCACAAGTAAAAGCTGTATTAGGTTGTTTGCAGGATTTACAGTGTGAACGCACTGAAGTATTAAGGTAATAAACTTGAAAGCATTGAGAAATTAAACTAGCAAAATAAAAATAATCTATCAAGCACTGGACGTACAAATCTGCAAAGAAGACGTGAAACACCAAAGGGCGCTCTACAAAGATGGGAATTCTTACAAGGTAGCTCCAGTCCTGTGTGTCCGGTGGTGTTGCGTACACATGGTGGTGAGTGGCGACCGTCGGCCATGTCAGACTCTGAACACTGCGCCTCGCCGTGAATCACAGCCAGACCCAAACGCAGGCGCTCTGCGTAGGACTGAGCCCTGGAAGAGGTAACGCAGAGAATGCAAATTGACATCTTCATCAGCATCTACACTTTCTTTCTATTCTGAGTTAGTTTAATTCTTTTTGTTGTTGGAAACATCATCAACACTCGCTCGCTGTGAATTTTCCTGCTGTATATTTTACAAGGGGACTTGCAGGAACAGTTCTAGAAAAGGCCCAGTGCAACTAACTCAGACATTTGCATTCTCACGTATAGTTTGGAGTTAAGCGCATGTTTGAAAGCAGCTTATATTGAACAGTGCTGTCATAATGTTGACTTTGCATTTAATGTAATTATCTGGTAACAGAAGATGGAGTCTTTGTTGGTTTTTTCCTCCACTTACCTTTTTGCTGCTGCTGGGGACTTTGCTACAATGATGGCATTTCGATAATCAGGAATCTGACAGGAAGAAGGAAAACAGGTATGAATATTTCTACCAGATTGATTAATTGATTTGGTGTGTAGGTGAGGCTGCCAACACATATACTCAAACACATGCAATAAATACTCAAATAGGATCATCACCTCCTCTTGGATGTACTGTATCAAAAAAGGCGAGGCACGCAGGTTGTCCACTGGAAAGCTGAAGAAGCCTTGGATCTCCTTCTGATGCAGGTCCATGGTAATGATGTGTGTTAATCCTTTGGGGTAGAAGACAGGTGAGTCACTTTTCTTACTATAAACACGGGTGTTTAACTGTCAACTGGAAGAAGAGTTTTCATCTGTGGACATGCATTGTGCTTTTCGCTGCATGTACCTGCTTTGGCCAACATTGACGCTAACAGCTTGCACACAATCGAGCCCCTCTTTCTCATCTTGCACTGCTTGCTGTAGGGGAAGTAAGGAATAACTCCGATGATGTTCTTTGCACAGGACGTCTTCAGGGCGTAAGCCATGACCAGCAGCTCCATGATGGCTGTGTTGACATCTCTGGATGTAGCAACAAAACAAAGAGAGAACAGTACATCATGTGAACTTTAGTTTGGGATAATGGATGGTATGAGCTTTTCAAATTCCATTTGCAGTGTCTTTGTCTACCTTGGTATTGTCTGGATGATGAAGATAGTTTGTCCCCGAACAGATTCTTTTACATCCACTCTCGTCTCTGCGCAGAACAAAAAAAAAAACACAAGACACGTTCAGATCATTTAGAATAAAAGTGAAGTGAAGACAATTACAAGGACCATGAATACATTTTTCTATCATGCAATAATCACCTCTGTTAGACTCCTGGAAGACAACAGACTTCCCCAGCTCCACTCCCAGCCTCCTGAGAAACAAGAGCACAGCATTACAGCTTTCATTGAAGCCGCTGAAATCCCTTTGTGAAGCTATTGAAGTCTACTAATCATCAGTGGTGATGGGACTTCAAAAACAACTGAACTACAACCAGGTTCATCACTTTTTTCGGTCCCATGGAAACATTTCTCGTCAAATTGATGAAGATGTTTTCTTAATTTGCTCTCTCGGCCACCGTGGTCATGTCTTTACCGAGCAGATATGAACTCTTGTGTGCACAACTTATTTATCTAGATGATATTAATCTTCAAGAGTAATCTTTTGGGACTCCAGGGGCTCTGTAGAAACGAGTGTGAGATGGTAAATATTTCCATGTGACATTACAACTTTAATTAGATGAAAACGAGTTTGACATGATGAGGACTGTCCTGCTGCAGGATGTCTCACCTGCAGGATGTCTCACTCAGACCAACATGTCCCTCACTGACAAAGCAAACACACTCACACAATAACTCATCATTACACTATCAGCTGCTGTGATCTGACATTTAAGAGCAGCTGGTCGGGCTGTTGACCTCCACAGCTGGGTGTCACCGTGTTGTTTACATGAAGCAGTGATGGTGGTGGTGAACACAACATGGAGGAGACTCTTACTCTGTGATCTTCTTGGCCAGTTCTGTGCAGGCTGCGGACGAGTTAGCCGAGAAGACTCGATACCCGCTTTTGGCGACGTTCATCGTGTCTGTGCCGGTGTGTCTGTGCCGGTGTGTCGGTCCCCGCAGCAGCGGCGGCTCCGCGAACCGATGCCGATTTTCCGCGTGCGACGTTAGCTAAGCAGCTAGCCACCTCCGGCTAAACCAGCGTGTGTCGCGGAGCTAATGATGAGAAACGAGCTGAAGCTGCGACACTACCCGAGCCGCGACCACCCGACGGCCGCTGTTTTCTGCGGCTGTGCGGGACTTGCTCGGATGTTTTCGGTCAGACGGCAGATACCTGTCGCTCAGGTAGCTCCTCGGCTAACAGCTGGCTACTCTCGCAGCTACGGAAACACGCGTGGGTCCAGAAGGACGGCTGCGCTTTTGCGAGACGCGACTGTTGTGATTGACCCAAAAGAGATTCCGTAGATTCTCAGTACCTGAAACTTACCTGGATCATTTTAAAACTTTAGACAAAATCACTCAGACTCGATGTCCCTAGCTTCTTTATACCTTCAATTTAGCTCAATATCTTTTTTCAAAAAGTCACCGTGTGTCGATTACACAGGCGATTCCTAAAAGCACGGTCTCTGTCTCTCAGGTATCTTTCTGCACCAAGGTTATTATAGTCTTGAAATTTTCATTAGTTTTTATTTTTATTTAGTTTTTCAGTTTGCTTTTTTATTTCAGTTTAGTTGTAGTTAGTTCAACAAATGATTTTGTAGAGTCAGTTTAGTTTTTATTTAGTTTTAGTCTTAGTTTTTCCAGGTATTAAGAGAAAGCCTTGACTTGTAGAAGCTGAAAAAGGATGAAACAATGTGTGACACCAAATATGGTTTATCAAGTCCTTTAATTTCATTCTTTATCCATCACCTGCAGGACAGGCAGTAATCGAGGGAGAAAACGAAACAACAACGAAGCTGAATTTATCTGCAATTCAGTTCAGTTTTAGTTAGTTTTGCATTGTTTATTTTAATTTCCCTATGGGGATTAATAAAGTACTTCTGATTCTGATTCATTGAAGTTTTTATTTTTATTTCAGTTAACTTAATTATTTTTTCATTGTCAGTTTTAGTTTTAGTCTTAGTTTTCGTTAACTATAATAACCCTGGTCTGCACACACATTGACTCATTCTGTTTAGAATTATAAATGAGTTAATGATGGAAAAGGAGCTAATAACCTTGACGTCAGCAGCAGTAACTGTGTGACAGTGGAGAAGTGTTGCTGCACTGAGATATTCAGGGGTTAATGTTACAGGTATCACTTACAGAAACACACGTCCACAAATAAATCAGGCGCATACCTTCACATTACAGTATAGTGTAACCTTATTTGACATTCAGTCGACTCATTCCGCTCAGTGGAAAGTTTCCAAAAGTTCATGTGTGTATTTACTCAACTGTGTTACCTTGGTGAACGAGACACAAGTTAAGGGTTGGAGGCTTTTTTTAGCTTTTTAGTCAAACACGAAAATATTTGTTAAGAGATGAACACACACACACACACACACACACACACACACACACACTCAAACACACAGTCACTGTGTCTTGGTCGGTCAGAGCCAAATTTCACCTCCTGCACTCGGAGAGAGTGAAAGATGGAGAGAGATTAGAAACAGAAATGTCAAACTCTTACTGATATTACCACCAGAGGCCATAAAGTGGATGGAGCACAATGTTTCCGAAAAGAAAAATAAATCATGCCTTTGCTTGATAAATATTTAGATGAAAAGATATAGTTATTTTTTTATCTTAGTTGCCTGGAAGATCAGTGACATGAGCATTACAGGTTCGTGGAGTAATAATAATGATAAAATCAAGTGGATAATCCGATTAAAGCCCACTAAACATCTCTTTGTGCACATGACGTCAGAGCAATAGTACTGTAACTGTCCACTAGATGTCATTAGTCATTAGCCCTACTGTCTCTACTGAGTGGAGTTATGTCTTTGGGAGGAATGAGATCATGCGATCTGTTTTTCTTCTGAGGGTTAAAGGTGCAACATTTTTCATTGAATCTGTCAGTTTGCTTGGATGGGTGTGGACGGCATAAATAAACATTAATGGAGCATTTTAAAATGGGTCTGGTCTCTTCTGTAGAAAACCTGTGGGATCAGAGTGTGTATTGATCTACAATCATTGACCAAGTCTGCTTGATCGTCTGATTCACAGCAACCAGCAGCAGGTTTGATAATTTACAAACCTGGAGCAGAAGACTAATACACGAACTCTGATCTGTTTGTTCTATTGAGAGAGACTGAGATGAACTTGGAAAATGTTCACCTTTAATTATGGTCTACAATGTTTGTGATTAGATGGTATAATCACTGGCTGTATAAGTCCAAACATTAACACTTGAAATGGTTATTTAGTTGAGATGTTAGAAACACAATCCCAGAAGTGGTGTCCATCTTAAGCACATTTTCACTAACTTGATTGCCAGTGTTATACTCTCAAGGACGCTGTCAATGTTTAACACGATCGCCTGCATCGTTGACACCTGCTGCACATTGTACTTCCACAGTCAGGCAGTAAACTTCACCTCAACCGCAGCTCTTGTTTCCTGTGTGTGTGTGTGTGTCCTCAACTTTGACATTCCGCTCACACTTTCCTGAGTTATAGTTTTCAGTTGTAAACACAAAGCAGAACAGTTCCTTGGAGTACACCCATATGATCTGTGTGCAACACACCTAAAGAAATAACACCCGCCCTATTTTTTTGATAGACGTCACGCTGCTTAGATTTTAGTCATAAACATTTACATCAGCAGGGCTTTGACAGAAATGCAATATCATCACTGGTTAATCTCCCACATAGGTGTGGGAAAGGTCAGAGTGCGTTCCTTTATTTTATTTCAACATCATAATCTTACACTACATCCATGCATGTGCTCCACATCTCCAGTGAGGGATTGGTTTTCTATCTCATCACGCTTTCATCAAACACCACTTACACTAAGGTGAGGTGGGAAGAGGGAGAAAGAAAGAGAGAGAGAGTGTGTAAAAGAGAGAGTACAGAGGCTCCTCCTCGTCCGCTGCGTGTGTTTCTTGTGTGTTTTTTCCACTGTTCTTCACTCACTCTCTCGCTCAGCAGACATCCAGTGGTGGAGGGCAAAGATTCTCACTGACAAAAGGGGGGAATTGGTCTTCTTTCTCTCTCTCATCAGGAAGGAGAGTCAAAATTTATTATTAAAAAAAAAGGTAGAAATATAGTATTTATTTTGAGGGGGAGGGGTACTCTCTCTTCAGCCCTGCCTTCTGCACATGCTCAGCTCTGCAACAACTGTGTTCCCAGATGGAGAGGATGCAGGGGGATGGAGAGGTGGATCACCTGGAGCAACCAAGCCCACTGACGGACAAGGAGCGGGTGATGGTCCAGGACTCCTGGACTCAAGTCTACCAGAACTGTGATGACGCTGGCGTTGCAATACTAGTCAGGTAGGTTAGTTTTACTCTCCTGGTCTATGTTTGAAATGTTTGAACACAGGTGATGCACATAGTACATATTCTTAATATTCTAGGAGAAAAATAATAATTGAGAGGTGGCAAATGCAACATATTGATATTCATGGTCACCATTTATCGCAGTTGCGTGTTTACTTAAATGCAGCCTGTTCATATCTTTACTTAAAGGCGGTCACATGTCACACAAAGTGTCATATATCTACTTCTGATTGTAAGGACTTTTCTCTTTTCTGCTGAAAAGGTCAAATTTGCATTTTGCATCACTTCTCCTCATTAACATTGTTTCACATGCTGCAGCCTGGAGGCCTTCGGCTGCTTCCCTGTCACTCACAACCTACTTTTGCCCGTTAACCTGCAGACACAGCACTGAATCAACTCCCATCAGAGTTTATAGGCCGACTATGACATCAGCCTTGTCTGTCAGTGCTCAACTTTAATGATCTCTCATTTCCAACATGTCATATTACCTTTCTGCTTTCTTTTCTTAAATCCTACATCCAAATCCATCTTACAGTTATCTTTGGCACATAAAGGCCTTGTTTTGAATACCTGTAAAAAAGGAACCGGGCAACCTACAGTGTGTAATCTTCACTAAATCTCCTCCACTTGTCTATTGTATATTTTTATGATGAATACTCATGGGAGAATTCCTGCTGTTGCTACAGTCAAAGTTGTCAGGGATTCAATAAATGTGAAGGCTGTGACGATCCTCCATGTGAGACGAAATTCAATGCATGACAAAGCACGCCTTTATAATCCTCCATGATTGAAGGAGGGGAAAGTTGAGAGGGATGTTTTCAAAAATGCAGAAACACATAATACATGTGTACTATTACAAAAATCCTGAATATAAGGGTTTATGTTGCACTTCATCCTCTTCTTTTTCTTGACCAAACATTTTTTTAAACATCATGGTTTTAACTTGATTCCCCTTGACGTTCTATCTTCACATTCCTCCACAAAGACCCATGACCTTTAGGAATTTGAGGAATGAGGGCTGATCGATAAAGCATAATGGTAAATTCTCGTCTTGGCAGCCAGAGCAGCTCCTGTCACTCCGCTGAGCCTCAGCTTTCGCTTCAAATCTTCTGTCTTTAAGGGCAACTGATTAGATCAACAGCAGAAAATTATCTGTCTGTCTATGAAATTAAAAACTTGAGCAACTGGAGTTCCACGTTACTCTTGAAGAAAAGATAAGGAAGGCTTAAGAATCCAGTGACCATATAAAACACTAATGAGGCTATTTATATGCAACCACAGGTCGTGCAGTTTGACGAGAAAAAGATTAAACAGCTATGTTCCTCATTAGTTTCCGTTGAAACGATATTACTTTGCTCCAACACCTTGCAGAGGCCATCCACCCAGAGCTGGGAGGTGAAGACACAACTTTCCACCATCCCTCCTTTTAAATCTAGCAGCGAATCTCTTCTATCATATGCTTCACACCTAAAAGAAAAACATGTGCTTCCCTTTTTTTGCTAGTTGATGCAGAGACAGAGTGAAATGGATAAATAGCCAGCAATGAAATGCATTGGCCCCTTTCCCAGACCGTCAAGGGGGAGAGTTGTTAGGTTCCTCTTCGCTAATTCTCCACAATACCTCTGAGGGTCAAACTGGGTACAATCAGAGAAAACATCTTTCGACATACTAAGTGTTCTCAGAGTGAGCACAGTGTGAGGAAATATCAAAATCAAGACGTAGAAATTGAGCATGGACGAAGGAACATGAAAGCTGTCTTTGGGGTTATTATGATTGCAAGCTTAACCACAAAGCCAACGGAAAGGTGAGCTCATGTAGCCTGATGAGGCCTGGACAGTCTTTTTTTCCCTTTTCATTGTCCCTCTCTCATTAGCACTTTTCACCTCTTTGAAATTGTGAAAGACTGCTCAGCCCAAAGGTGCACGAGGTGGGACGAAGTAAATTAAAGGAGGAAAATCTGAAACCGGATTTCAGACAGCTCATGTTCAAACGTTTATTGCAACAGTAGAACAGGTTTGTGTTTTGCATCTAAGCTCTGTCACGATGGGAATAACAAGCAAATACTTGTAACTCCCCGTCAGAGCCCACAGGTGGCTGCTGGGGTGTTGGAGGGGCTGAAGCAACTGGTAGCGATACTGCAGCAGCAGTGCAAGCAAAGGGGTTGAGGGGAACTTTCTCTCTGCTGAAATAGGCCGCCTAATAAGGTGGGTGTGTATAATAGATGATTGTGGAGAATGAGGTATGTCACATGAATGGAGCAGCACAGCTCGAGTTGGCTGCCTGAACTAGCTCGCAGGGTTGGCTCCATTTATGCTCCGTGATGTGATTTATGTTGTGACTTGTAACCTCAGGTTTTCATTCATGAAAAATCAATAACGAAGCAAATAAATGGAGACGTTAATTAAGTCAACAACGAAAGCTTCTCTGAAACGAGTTAACATTGAGTTAACACGTCACCCTGGCTTTACATGGAGGAGTCAACGATTCTTTACTCTGTTACAAAGAGTGCTGAGTGTTAAAGGTTATTATTTTCTCATACATTTTCCCTTTCATCCACCTCTAACAGCAATGCTGTTTAAATGATTATATCAGAGCCACAGCTGTACAGAATTCCTCACATGCATCAGGAAACACATCTGTTATGGACAATTTATGCGATGTTGCAGGATTAAGAGTGTTTCTACAGACGTTAAATTTATTTGATTTCATTGAGCTCAACAGTCCCTTTAACAAACCACATTCAAATTCATTAGATCCAGTTTTGTATTTGGATCTGAATCATTAATATCAATCCCCTAAACATGTCACGGTTTTTTTTCATCAAGATCCATGAATTATTCTCAGAGAAATCAATATAAATTTAGAAAAACATCTGGCAATGTTAAAGAAAGTGAAAAATGTAATAGTTTTGTGTCACTGGCCCATTCTGCATCCATCCACCAAGTTTCGGGATAATCAGTCGAGTCATTTTTTTCATCATCTTGCAATCAAAGAAATCAACTGACAAATAGACAGGGATGATCTTTGGCAGAGGTAACTACAGAAAAAAACTAGTGATGAAACATACTAATGAACGAATGAGCATGTCAGCAAAGTTGAAGATGTTGTTCTTGTCACTGGGTGATCACCAAAGCCAAAGTACCAACTAATAAATCATCTAATTGAATAACGAGCTGTCCAATTGAATAGCTACTTATTAATAATTACGCATCTATATAGTTCATGGTGGTTCTCAGCGGTTGGAGGTTTTTCCTTCACTTTCTAAATCCTTTTCAAAAAATACAGAATACAAACCACACAGTTCCCACATACAGTTTAAAGCAAACATTTAAATGGAAATGTCAGTGCTGGTGTTTACTTATGGTATCTCGCCAGCCCCCCCACCCCCAAACAAAGATTGCATTTGGAGCAGATGCAGGCTGAAGGGCGACGAGATTAGCGGGGGCTTCACAGCAGATGCTCAAACTCATATCTCTCACTTGACAGTAACTCTCCTCCTTAACAGGCTGTTTGTGAACTTCCCCTCATCCAAGCAATTCTTCAGCCAGTTCAGGCACATGGAGGAGCCAGAGGAGCTGGAGCGCAGCACCCAGCTCAGGAAGCACGCTCATAGGGTCATGACCGCCATCAACACGCTGGTGGAGAGCCTGGACAACTCAGACAAAATGACCTCTGTGCTGAAGCTGGTGGGCACGGCCCACGCAGTCAGACACAAGGTGGAGCCTGTGTACTTCAAGGTAAGTGGTGACTGTTTTCTCCTAGCTGTCCGTTTCTCGTCTTTGTTAGTTTGAACCAGACAATCCAGTTCAACCATAATATAATGTGAGTGAAACAAAACAGTGGGGGAAAAAAATCCGTCACACAAGGAAATAGATCTTCTTACTTTGCATGCCATCATTTCATATTAAAGGAGTAAGGATTTTCTGATTAGCCACCAAAACACATCATGATCATGAGGCATTTAGGGAGTGAGACTATAAACAAATATTGGCAACGTAAGGGAGGATTTTTGACTTAATAACCTAAAAGTCTTGCTGAGAGGGGAAGGTTATTCTTCCATATACTTCAATAAAATATAATAGCCTAATAATAATGTCAAATTTGTTCTAGATCCTGAGTGGTGTGATACTGGAAGTACTGGGGGAAGCGTTCCCAGAGGTCATGACACCGGAGGTGGCCGCGGCGTGGACCAAACTCCTGGCCACAGTCTACTGCGGTATCAGGGCCGTCTATGAGGAAGTGGGCTGGAATAAGCTCTCGACTTCAACTGGGTGAAACATTAAGTCTGGTCTCACAGGGCCATGCACACAAAGAGACTCCTATTTTTTATTTTTTTATTCTTTAGTTTGGCCAGAGCCTCATTAAAGAGTGGGGGTGGGTTGATGTAATCTAGGATAATAATGGCTGATGGAACTTACGCTCTAATTTTGTATTCGTGTAAAGGACCAAACCATTTGACGGAGCAAAGAGAGAAGAAAATGCCAATGTAAACCCAACACTGGTCAAGAGGTCACATTTGACTTGGATGTGCCTTCTACTGAATGTGTAAACTGCGATGTACTGTAAATACATAATCTTTCTAAGTATCGTGATGTTTTACTGATGTTTCCTTGTCTGTATGCACTTGTGTCCCCCACTTAATCAGGCCGGAAAGATTTTTTTTTTTTTTTAGCAGTTAATCATTACGACTTCTTTGTTTTTTTTCAATATGACTCACCTTTGTATCTGTGTTCAACACAATTTTAAAAATAAAACCACAAAGAAAACAGTGTGATGTCACAGCGTAACCTCAAAGCCATTTAAACTTGCATCTGCTTTAATCAGATTCCCCGTGCACATCGACTCACGAACGTGTCGACAAAATTAGACCTTTCCTTTCTCTCGCCTGGCCTGTTGCTCCCTTATTCTCTGTTTGAGTCAGCAGTGCTAAGTATAAGTGGCTCAGTCTCTATTTATAACCCCATTTATCCCACTATGCTCTCTCTTTTCATATTATATTGTCGGAGCTCTGTACTTGGCCTGCAGGGATGTCATTAGAGGGCCCCGTATATTTAGAAGTGGTCCCGTGATATCTACAACAACAATTCAGCAGTTCCCAAAGTAAGTCAGAGAGCAATAACAATGAATTAGTGCATCTCCGGATGCACAGTAATTTGATTGGTATGGTGCTAAACCCCTGACGTGAAGGTGCCAAAAATACCACTCAAGCCAATTTCACTGGGGCTTTTTAGAAAATGCTCCCTTTTCTCAACATTTAAAGACGATCCAGGTCGACTCGACGTGCTGCGTTGATGCTATGGTGCCGTTTCTATTTTTTCTAGAATAGAAACAAACAGCATGCTCTGTTTACCAGCCGAATCCAGCCCTCCCTCCTTTCCTTGATCCTGGCTAATCCTCCGAGCTAATCTCCTCAATCATAAGTGAGAGCCGAGAGGAAAGACGGGAACAGTCAGATTGTTGCACCACAATTCACCATCCAAGCCTTTTCAATGGGAGGAGAAGTCTCAGTGCTCTGAACCAGCGGCAGACCCAGGGCAGGAGATCCCTGCAGGGTGGGACCATGTGCACCACCATGATGGTGCTCACCACCATTGCGCTCATCCTGCGACAGAGGTTCTCCAACAAAATCAGACCGTGAGTACCTAGTAGTTACTGGAGACATGTTTAAATGAGGATTGTATGAGAAACAATTCAACAGCTAAAGGTTATTTGTGCCATAAAGACTAAACTACATGAAATGCTTCCAAACACAAGCAGCACACGAACACACAAACTGCATGTTTGCTTCGTGTGTGGGAGAGCGATGGAGGCAGGAGGAGACTGATCTGCATCATTGATTTAAAATCACTCCTGTGATTATTTTAGGATTTGCCTTGCGCACCAGTGTGTGGATTAAGTGTTTTGCTACTTGACAACAGAGTATGCCAGCTTTTTTTTTTTATTGGAGAGATGAGAGACAGTGGGGGGAGCATCAGTGCTTGTGCTGCTAATTGACTCAAAGTGCAATCTTCTCAGCCTCCGCCCCCCCCAGCAGCCCTGCTCTGCCACTCACACAGCAATGTCAAACATTGGCACATGGCTCCAGCACCGCGGAGCATTGGCAACAGCTCGATCGCACAATTATGAGCCAATATACGTCAGAACCTTCTCCATCCTTCTTCAAGCTGCTTCCAGAGAGTTGTGTTTTGTTGACCATGACCAAAATAATAGTTATACTGTGATGATAAACATGTAGGATTTCATTATTGAGATTATTGTTTTCTCTCAACCGGCACAGCCAGAAAGACGCTATTGAGAAAGACATGCCATACATGAGGAGCAATGGAGCGGCAGAAACCAAAAAAACACAACAGTGAGCGTCACAGGGTAAGGACAAACAAATCAAGTCAATGAAATCAGACTGAGCTTAAGGGCGAGGCTCCAGAGAAATTCAGTTGTAGTCTTCAGGGCTGAGATACTCAAACCTCTGTAGAGCACCAGTGTCATCCAAACTGCAGTTAGTAACAGGATTTCTGGGTAGCACTTCTACATGCTTCTGTGCTGGTTATGTTGTGGTTTACAGTTTCATAGTAGAATTAAATTGACTTAAGATGTGAATTCAAAATGAAATACTGAATAAAAGTATTCAAGACCAATACAGCAAAACAGCAACACAGTGGGTGAGAGGGAGACAGGAAAACATCCAGAGAGACATTGACAGTTGTGTGTGTGTGTGTGTGTGTGTGTGTGTGTGTGTGTGTGTGTGTGTGTATTGGGGGGGTTACAGAAGGGACTCCAGACAAGGGGAGAAAGTGGAGCAGTGGAGCATGTTACAGAGGCACAGATGCATAAAAGAGCTAAGATGCCTGCCCCACATTTAGCTTTTAACTACTTCCCACTTCACTGTTAATACTAAATGATTTAGAGGCAGAACAACAATCCATCTTCTCTTTGGAGGGTTATTATAAATACATTACCTCACTACAACCACACCACTTAATGCATCTGTGAAACATCTTAGCATAAGGCACTGACACATTATATATGGAGATGCAGGTCACAGGTCACCGGTGTCTTATCCTTCACTTTTTACCTGAATACCTGAATCGCTTTTATGGTGTTGAGCATATTCAGCTGAGTGGACGTGATTTATTTATGATTAGTTGTTGTTTTTTTTTGTTATCTGTTACATCAGTTGTGAACTTTGCTCTCATTTCTTTGGGCTTGCAGATGTGAACTATAGACCGGAGTGCGTCATCATCTCAAATCCAGTGGTGAACATCAGGTGAACTTGCATTTTTACCTTGAATTAAACCAGAACATAAATGTGTGTGTTTGTTCGAACCTTTGCAGCTAATCCTCATTTGTTTTGTGTTCTATTTTCCCAGTGGTCTCTGCTTTCAAGACTTCATGACAATGGGAGATTCGATATTTTGGGTTTGTCATTGTTTTTTTTCTCATTCACCTGATTCTGATTAATTTGAACAGCTCATGCCAAGACTCTCGCACCATGTGGAGTACAAAAAAAAACAAGGAGTGGGCTAGAACAACACTGAGGCCCTGCAGATTCTCTCGCTGGAGTAAATTCCAATGTGGAAGATGAAACCTGACCAATGCTGGGAGATCATCCTCCGCTTAAGACTTCAAAATTCAATATATGATCAGAGCTTAAAGCGATGAAACATGTTCTGGGCCTCCACATGAAAAAAAGCAACCATGACAATTTCTTTGATTTCATGTGTTTCTTGCTTTTGACAAATTTGATGAGTGAACGTATGAGGGCAGGATGAGGATTGACTGGATGAATGATCTCATAAGTGACTTGATATAAGGTCTGAAGCATGTGTTGTACTGTGCACGGCAGCCGTGACTGATCCTGTGAATCCTGTGAAGGCGTGTGTTGTTCTAACAGCGGAAGCTCACAGACTAAATGAAACAATGAAATGCATTTGTGTGCCTCTCGATATTGTCCCTCAATCACACAATGAATTCCTTGATTAATCATTGAAATGATGCAAAATGACATCAGTGAAGTTTTCCTTTTTCACCACAGATGGCTGTGATTTGAAAATGGTGACTGTTGCTCTGCCTGCCTCCAAATTGCATTGAGCAATGTCTGTATGCATGTAACAGAAAAAGTAGAACTCCTTCAAAGTAAAGATTCTGGATTCTGATCTTGTGGTTGATCTGATAATTTCCATTGATACATGTCATATACTGCTGTCTGTGATCTTGCATTACAAATATGTCAGGGAAAAACATACACATTTTTCTTCTTTTGTATTTAAAACCAGTCCCTTTAATTTAGAATCGCACACACACTAAAAAATCTGATCTTTTTCATCAAAATCCATGCAAATGTCAAAACAAAAACACCCTGATCTAGATCCTCAACAAACCTTTATGGGTTGTTCCTTGACCCATTGCATCCTTCCAGCAAGTTTTGTGATAATTTGTTTTCATAGTTTTTGACTAATCTTGTTTAGAAACAAAGAAACCAACTGAAAGGGGTGAAAACTAAATTACATCGAAATGAAAGACACCAGCTGTCTTCAAAAAGGGAACAAAAAACTTGGCATTAGTTAAGGAATCACTCAATCCAATTGAAATGAGAGACACACAAACAGGTTTATGTCATTGTATAACTTTGAATCATGCTCTTGCATGAATATTTACATTTCACTGACCAGAATAGTTTGGAGACAATTATTTTGTACTTTTTGTCAGTCATGCAAGAGGACACCTGATGGGGAAGGAGGAACAGGACGAGCAGCTCTGCTGCACTGATTCAGAAACAAGAGAACAAAACACTGCGTGTAAAAGCCAAATGTCATAAATGGAGATAATCCAAATCCTTGCTTTGACAAGATGATGAATGGGTGGATGCTGGTATGTGCACCAAGCCCCACCTTGTTGTCAGTAGTGATGGAGTTGGAGGAAACCTCATGAGGAACACTGTTGTGTTCCTCTTTAGGAAGGGGCTCTGCCTTAGTGATCATTGTGCTAATTAAAAGTGCAACATCTGGCCCAGACCTCACTGAATTAAACATGGCCCACAGAGGATCAATTATTCAGCTCCTCAGATTTGTTCACACTGATTTGCTTTCACTAATTCTTTGAGCTCTGACGCCACCTGCTGGTGAAGCGGTTTGGTATGTTGAACTAACGAAGGAATGAAAGATGTTCGAGGTTGTGGGAATCTATTTGATCGTGTTCACACAATCCAGCAATCACAGAAGCTTTTACATTCATTTGAAAATCAAATCTGCTCAGTTCATCTGAACAAACAACTCAAAAAAACAGAATTTTTCTTTTTGGGAAAATTATTGTTTTTATGAATCAACCACTTAATCATCTTGTTCATTTAGAAAAACAGGATTGATTTTTTTATTTTTTTTAACAAAATTGAAGTTTTTCTGAATGAACAAGACAATTAAGAAAAACAGAGCAGGTTGTCTTGGGGGGGAATAATTGTTTCTCCTGAATTAACAAGATAATTAACGAAATAATGAAGTCGCTCATTCAGAAACGTTTCGCTTCAGACTACACTAAAAGAAAAACTACTCTACCCAGAATGCATTGCGTGGTGTAAACAGGAAGTGTGTGTCTCACCGGGTGGATGTAGTAGCGCTGCAGTAAATCTCTCAGAGACCAGAGGTTTAGTCTTTATTTTATATTTGACTGTATTTAAAGCTAATGGTGCGGAGCGTGTGTCTGCAGGTTAGATTAGCTTAGGTGTGCTACATGGCTAACGTGCAGCCTGAAGCGGACGTGGTGGAGTAAATCCTTTAACTCTTAACTTAGCGGGTCAGTTTTTAAAACGCTGAACTAAAGTTGAAAACCGATCGTGTTAACTTGTGAAGTGATTCTAGCTGTAGTCATTGTAAAGGACATGAGCCGCTGCAGCACGCTGGTTTCCCATGGAGACGGGAGACGCCTAATCGGATTTAGCTAGCGTTAGCCGGGCTAGCTAGCTCCTCTCACGTTTACCAGCTGGGATTGAACATGGTGAGTCAAACCGAGTTTCAAACATTCCTGATTTGGTTTAACGTTAAGTTTCCAACCACTCGTGTGTGTTTGCTGTTTTACTTTGGCACCAGGACCAGGTTCATTTAAAATCCATTTAAAATAACTGAAGTGTACTTCACTGTCATTTGCAGGCTGCAAAGCAGAGGGACAGGCCATCCAAAAGTAAGATCCTCCAACTTTACTTGATGTATTATCACATTGTACACATAAATACAGTACATGTGTTATTGTGTTATTATTATATTACCTCTGCGCAATTAACTTAAAATCAAATCAGGCTTTTTTTTTGTGTAGCTTTAAATCACATATTTGTCACAGAGGACTTAACAAGCTGTACACGACACCCTCTGTTTGGAGGATCCCTCAAACCAGGATGCAAAGAAGAAGTAGCAGATAAACCGTATTACATTCAACAACCAAGAACTACATTATGGCAATGCTACAAAGTACTTGTGGCAAAGAATAACTCATTAGCAGTACGAGCAAGATGTAGCAGTAATAGGTCACGGTTCTATAAACTCATGTTAAAGTGTAAACCCCCCTCGGTTTCTCATAGGTTTATTCGAAGATGATGATCTACTCGACAGCTTATTTGATGACAAAAGTAAGTGAGGCTGTTTCCGCAGTTTTTAACCATAGAGATTTAACAATGTCATACTGGCGTTATCATGTGAAAGCTCCACATATTGTAATATTTCTTCTTAACAGAACCCTCTGTAAGGGGGAGAGCAGCTCGCGGTGGACCCTTGACTCGGTAAGTTGGAGTTGGAAGTAATTATAATACTGATTATAAATGTTTACCCCTTTCCCTAACAAGTTACATTTATTATGTTTTCTTTTTTCCAGCTCCTCTGCCAGTGATAACATCTTCAGTATGCTGGCGGAGGAGGTAAAGAAGGACGGTGGTGGAGACACTGAGGTACCCAGTTCTAATTTGATTTTATTTGTACGTACATCATCTCGCAGTACTTTACGTAGTAAGGTTGAGACTTAATACTATCGTAGAGAAAACCAATAGTTTCGATGAAGAGTTAACACTTGGTGACATTGGTCCACTTCATACGTACTATTCCTTGTCAATACACAATAAAAAAACAAGACGGTAGGTTATTATAAACAAAGCACAGACAGTACAGGTCCCAGGTTAGTCTAACTCTGTCCTGTCTATCCTCATACAGGACCTGGATGATATGGATGCTGAACTTTTTGCATCAATAAAAAAGCCAAGTTCAGCTCCTGCACAAACAAAGACGTTGGGTAAGGAGGTGCCAAAGAAAGACTCCACTGCATTAGAAAATAATGCAAACTCTGAGGGAGGAGGTAATTCTGAGCAGTGTTCTTGCATTCATTATTTTCTCAGTATTAGCTCCACGTTATTACCAGCTTTGAAGTTTACTTCATTAGCTGCAATCAGAAAAAGAGAGCTGTGTCTCCCCCCCACTCAGATGAACCCGGCACAGGAGGGAAGAAGCCAAACTCTGCACCTGCCTCATCGGCTCGAAACTACAGGAAGTTCAGCTTCTCTGGTGAGTGACCTGCTGTATCCAATCCCATTCAGAAGACTCAGATAGTGAAAGTGCTGTTTATTAAGAGTTGTGCTTTGTTTTTCTTTAACTGCTGCATGAATTCAGACTGTGGCGATGATGAAGGTCTTGGTCAGACTCCATACAATGACGGTACAAGATACATATTTGGCCTTTTAGTTGTAGTTGAGTTTTCTCAGTGGATAGTATATTTGTGTATGACAATGCAACAGCCATTGTTGAACTCACTGTCATTTATTAAAAGGTCTTTCTTATATTATTATGTCTATAAACACAATTTAAAAAATCCATCGAGTCTAAATTTCCTTCGCAGATCTAGATGACCCCCTGGCCGACCTGCTCGATGATCTGCTTCCAGATGAAACCAAGCCCGTAACTAAAGCCAGCGTGCAGCCACCCAAACCTGAGCAGTTATTGCAATCTCCTTCAGCATCTCCCATCTTTAAGAATAGAACATGTGAGCTTTACAAAGTCCAAAATCTTTTTACTTTTTTTTTAACCATCAAAAACTAAATATGTGTGTGTTAATTCTTTGTTCATTAGCTAAAGCAGCGAAGGCATCAGCTGATATCACATTAGATGATGATAAGGACGACCTGATGGATGCACTTGGGTTTGACAGCGATAAAAACAATCCCAGGAAAAAAGAGACATCGCTTTGGCCCAACAAGAAAAGGTGACAGTTCTTTTACTTTACTTTTACCGTCTCACTCTTTTTGTTGTCCTTATTTATAGTGTTCAAACAATAAATAATTACTGCCTCAGTGCTTTGGGATGCACCTAGAAACAAACTTTGCCCAGAGATGATCTTGTTCTGTCTCATTTGATTTGCCTTTTCCAAAACATCATCTTGTTTTTGCTGCTCCCTGCCTTACATCGCATCATAACATACAGTATGCCTTATGTCACCCCCCTTTTCCTCTGTGTTTACTCTCAGGAGTGAGCCCCCTCAGAGAGCTCGCACTCGACTGGATGAGATTCTGGAGGGTTTGCCTTCACCTAGTCTTCTGGAGCGACCGCTCACAGGTGAGAGGAAGGAGCAGCCTCTGTCTCGAGAGAGGCAGCAGCAGGGGAAGACCACCGGTGTCGAAGGTAACAGAGCTCCATGAGGCTGTGAGCAAGGACCATTTAAAAAGTATGAAATAATTAAAGTAGATTTTGCTTGCATTATTCAGAACAGCGTTTAGAAGAGGATCTCACATTTGGGTCCTATCAGCCCACTTTGGGATCCATGCCTGAAGGACGTCAGTCCCGCAGACCGTCAGTCAGGTGTGTGTTCTTTGTGTGTCGTCCAATCTTGGTGTTCTGCATTTGGCTTTTTTCCTGCTAATGAGAACCACACAAAATATTTACATGGTACAACTGTATTCTTCTTTGACTTTTTCTTTTTATAATCAGATTTTCCACAGAGGACGTCAGTGTCTCTACTACAGACATGAAGCCCAAACCCACCACCCCCACACCAGCACGTCACCGCAACTCAGCCGACTGGTTAGGCCTCAAGACAAATGATGATAATACATTTCTAAAGGATGAGACTAAGACTTCAGCAGAGTCTCCAAATGCTCCTTCCTCTCCCTTACTGGAGAGAAAGCCCTCGCTGACTGGTAGTAATACCACATCTACTGCAAGAATGCCAGCGGAGACCCAAGCCAAACAAACCAAGCCTGAGGTTTCCACAACCCAGAAGAAAGAAGAGGAAGATGATTGGTTAGCCGGAGTACTGAGCAGGAAGAAGACTGTGTCAGCTTCAAACTCTGAGGCACAACAGTCCAAGCAGGAAGATTTATTTGATCAGGGAGAAGAATTGGATCTGGAGTCATTTGTTAGGTAGTGCGGAAGCCATACATTACAATACAATATAATATGATACAGTAAATATCAGTGCAGTGACAGGAGGCACCTGTTTCTCACTAATGATAACCTGCTCTTGTTTTCAGTAAACCAGTCACTTCACGGGCTCCCAGGGGCAGAGAGGAGAATGTGTCTTCTTTCAGAGAAACTAGGTAATTCATTGTGTGATTAATTTAATCCACACACGTGACTATTTTGCTATTTTCTTCTTCATTCTCCTTTTTTGTGTGAAGTAACCCTTGTCTTGCACCTCCTCCAGCCCTGCTGCTCCCCCCACCCCTGTCGGAGAGGAGACAGCTGAGCAAGGTATTCACACAGTTGCACAGTGATTCACACAAAGCAGCACATTGCAGTTATATGTTTTTATAAATTGTGAATTCAGTTTGCAAAATAACCACATTTTTCAAAGCCATTCCCCTCCCAGACAAATCAGTGCATTTACAGAAGTAGCCTTCCTCGCTTTGACATTGTTAATTGGTAATTTTCACAAAATGATCCTATCTACATCATGCTGTGCACTGAAAATACCCATATACAAAACCTGATTGATCATGTCATCCACTGCAGTCTCCCTCTATATATACTGAGTGTTCTCCCACTGTCCAGTCCACCCTTTTATTGTTCTCACCAACCAATCTCCTTGCCAAAGTAGACTTTGGACAAACTCTCAGTTTGTCTCATCCCTCAGATTACCCTCCTCAGCTAACTGGTCCTATGCCAGTCTCTGCTTCTAGCATTAGCCAGCCTCAGTCCAGCAAGGGAGCCAGGGTACGAAGAAGGCCCAATGAGGCTTCGTATGAATTCCTGCAACAGCTGCCATCGCCCAACCCTATATCTACCACACTGCCAGGCACAAATGAGCGTAGGTCATTTTAGGGACATTTTTTAATTCATTTCAGGGAAGTAGTTTCAGATACAGAAGCATGTTTTGCTATTGATTTAACAATTATTCAACAACATTTGAATTTGCATGATTTTAACCTATGTTTTTTTTTATCATCAGCAGTTCCACAACAAAACAAAATGCCAAACACATCAACTACTGTCCAGCAACAGGTATTCATGCTTTTTTTATAACAAGGTTGTCTTGACTGGGGACTTCATTTTTAAGTTTTTTCATTCCTTCTGTATCTTTTGTGTAGGCGACATTTTCAGCAGACAATCTGCAGCAGCTGCTCCAACAACAACAGGCAAGTAACCACTCAACTCCTTACGTATCTCTATCTGTAGATTTATTCAATAAGACAACACGTTCATCACCTCTTTGTTCGTGACTAACTTACTTTCCTCCTACAGATGCAGATGCAGTCTCAGTTGCTGAGTTTCGGGGGGGTAGTGGATGCAGGGGTCCAGCAGAGACTCATAGAGCATCAACCTGGAGGTTATCCAGCTTTGCAGGTTCGCCTCATCCAGCTGGAGGGACAGGTATGTGAATGCCCATCTGTTGATGGGGCAGATCTTGCTAATTCATTGTTGCTCAACTTGTGGGGAATAATATTAATATTTCATTGTCCAGGTGAAGACCCTGCAGCTGGAGCGAGACCAGAGCCAAATGATGCTAGAGAGTGTCCAGCAACAGCATAAACAGGATATGGAGCTCATGGAGAACACACACAAGTACTGTATTCCAAACACACACACACACACTCATTTGGTCCATGTCTGTCTTAAAGCGCAACTTAAACTGGAAATGTCCCTTTGCACATCCAGGGCTCGTGTGAAGCTGCTCGAGGAATCAGCTGCCCAGAGGGAGATGCGTGCGCGGCAGGACTATGACGACCTAATGGAACGCCTGGCCGCGGTAACACGATCCGCTGAGCAGGAACGCTCAGAGCTGCAGGCCCAGTACCAGCGCAAACTGGCCCAGGCCCAGCAGGAGAGAGACCGTGAGGTGGAGAGACTCAGAGACCTCCAGAGGTAAACATAGGTCACCTTTTCAAAAGCATCCTTTGTGACACTTATTCAACCACAAACTGCACATCTTTTGACTTTTTGACATTCAAAAGAATAAAAAAATGGATGAATCAAGAAATTTCTGTTTAATGTTTCTGAAAATCAGAGGTCTCTTGATGTAAGAGGCAGGCTCACTGAAATTACCCACAATCCCCTCAAATCTGTCCCATCTTGCCACGTCACCATCAAGGAAATCTATCTCTGAGATGAAGAAAGACCACGAGGACCAGCTCCAGAGACTCAAGAGGTTGAAAGATGAAGAGATTGATGCAGTTACAAGTGCAACATCTCAGACCAGGTAAGTCAACGGAAAATAGTTTCTGTCAAAATACTATTTTCAGTGTTGGTATGTTCTAGTGTAGAATGAGCAAACTACTGCTGAATGCTCTAATTGTACTTCTACAGCCTGGAATTAGTCTTATCATTCTTATTACTCTCTAACTTTCTGTTTGTGCTGCATTTTTCCAGGTCTCTCACAGTGGTGATAGAGCAGATGGAGCAGTTCTCCTCTCGGCTGGGAGAGCTTTCATCCCGGGTGGAGAGCACACATGAACACACGGCGCATGGCCTGGAGCAGGGAGCACGGCACAGAGACGAGCAGCTTAGAAGTACCTGACGCAGACACACACACACTTTGTTTAAATGGGTCAAGAAACAAGTTGTCTTAGGGCAAAGTTGTTTCATATTGCAAGTGGGTTGAGGTCATTCTCTAAATGTACTTTTTAGTTATGCAGGACCGGTTGGCTCAGCAGCAGAAAGCCATGGCAGAGGAGAGAACTCACCTCAAGGAAATCATTTCCAGGATGGACACTCAGCTCAATGAGCAGCAGAGACAGCTCGAGAAGGTCGGGAAAAAGACAGACCTTTAAAAGAGGATATTTTGAAGTGCATTCATGTAAATAGCTGAAACCTGCACTGTTACCTTTCACCTTGAAGAACGATATATTCAACTTTTTCTCTGTGTGCCTTAGGAACGCTGGAAGGTGACAGGAGAGCAGGCCAAGGCAGAGTCTACACAAAGAGGCCTGGAAGAAGAGAGGCGGTCCCTTACCATGCAGATCAGCATGGAGAGAGAGGAGCTGGAAAGAGCCAAGGTGAGCCTGACAAACATCAGTGCAGACAGTCGATAAAGAGCTGTATCTTGATTCTTCACCTCACCGTGTCGCTCTCTCCAACAGAGCGCATTACTGGAGGAGCAAAAGTCAGTGATGCAGCATTGTGCAGAGGAGAGGAGGAAGCTGGCAGCTGAGTGGGCCCACTTCCATGCCCTCGAGAAGCAGAGGCACGAGAGGGCTGAGCGAGAGGTCGGCAGCCTCTTGGAGAAGAGAGAGGGCTCCATCCTCAGCCTGGCACAAGTGAGCTTCACAGTGGAGAAAAGGAATGACTCTGCTTTATTATTATTTAATTATTTATTTCGTTATTATAAAAGCCACTGCTCGGATAGAAATGTGTGTAAAATGTTTTCAATAATGAATTACGACTGTTTACCTCAGTGTGATAATATATTTCTAGAATGTACAGGACGCCAAAGTTCTACATTTATATTTCTATTCCAGGAACAAGCCGACCTGAAGCTCAGAACTGCAGAGGTAAAACAGAAAGAGATGTCCGTGGCACAGGAGCGAGAACATTTGGAAAGACTAAGAGAAGAACTCAACAGAGAGAAAGATAAAATAAGCAGCACGGGCCTGAGACTCAAAACACGAGCCCAGGAGGTGGAGGCCTTCAGCAAAGTAAATTCACAACACACACACGCCTCTGCAAGTAATGGAACAAACAATGTCATATTTGACTCTTGACCACATTGCATTGTTTGCAGCTCGCTGCAGACAAGTATGAGGAAGGAGAACGAGCGTTGCAGGAGGCAAAACGTGTGGAGGCTGACCACGATGCAAGGCTCAGAAATATCCAAACCCAAACAGAGCGGCTGAGGCAGCAAGAACGAATCCTTCAGGTTTGTGTCAGTTCATATCAACCACACACAAATATACAGAAACTGCAGGCTAGAAGTTAAGTGCTGTTTTTATTGCAGGAGAGAATACGAGTAAATCAACAACAGAAGACAGAGAGACTTGTGGAGGAGCCTCATGTCACATCACTACAACTGATTCCACCCATTTTACCAGGTAGCTTTACATTGTTCAAGAGAAACTGTCGCCGACTTTAAATTACAAATAAAAATATAACAAGGTTTGATTTATCTTTAGATTCATTGATGACAAACCCTGAGCTGTCATCAACCCTGAGTGCCCCCCCTTCCACTTCATTTGCCAATACTAAGCCCATGATGCTTCAGGCCAGTCTGGCTCTATGGAAGTACACAGCAGAGAAGGTAAGCACAATCCTTTCAACTTGTGCATAAACTTAGGAACTTCCAAAAATGTTGTTGGGAATAAGATTTGAGTATTGAGAGCTACAGATTAAATCACATCACTTGACACAAGTAGGTTTTTACTGTACAAGGTTTTTATTGTAAATATCAATACAGTAAAGTGCTGAGGCTCATTTTCAAACTTCTACCCAAGACCATACATGTTTGTTTCTGTCCACAGGACCGAGAATACCTCCAGGAGGAGAACATCTTTCTAGAAAATTTAAAGAAGAACAGATCGTCCTTCAACTCAGATTGGACAATGCGTACAGGGCATCTTTAAGAGGATCATTGTTACTCTTAATTATGTTGAATACTTGAATGTGCCATGACACTTTTTATACATTACTTTTTAAATAAACACGGTTTTTAAAATGTATTTTCCTGTGCGACTTCTGAATCAGTTCAAAGCTGCCGTCTCTCCTTTCACCACCGGTTACACCTAGAGAATTCAAAAAAACAAAACAAGTATTATAATTTTGACACAGAACCATTTACATCCTGTATCTCCAGTCAAGCCTCAGGTTACAATGACTCCACACTTTGATTTCAGACAGGGATAACTTGTATCATCACTGGCTTGACTTTTAACTATGACAGTCTGGCAACACTTACCACGGAGGATCATTTCATGTCGTCTCAGGACCAGCTCGTCTTCACATGGACTTAACTGCCGTTACATCTGTAAAGGGGAAAATTTACATCTGTATTATCAAATGTTCAGATCATTGACACCAACATAAAGTAAGGTAGCATTTCTCAGAACAGCTATTTCCATCGTCAGTTATCGCATCAGACGGCACTTCCTATGCAGCAAGTTTCATCACAGAACGAGTTTAAACTTAAATTCAAATATAAACCAGTACAAACCTTTTCTCTGTGCTTCCTCCTGCAGGCAGTGACTGCAGCGTGGGGACCTCAGGGCCACATACCTGGAAAGTCACACTTCATTAGTGGTAATTCATTGGCAGAGCAGGACTTTACTCATCAGTCCGCAGCGGATCAGATACCATTGGTTTCCACACTGATAATTTCAGACAGGGATAACAAACTCATCATGTGCACTGCAGAGTGGGAACAGAAGGCATCGCGTCACATCAGCTTTACCTTTTAATCCAGATGAAACGTGGAGACTTTAGTTGATCAGGAACACGAGGGTTGATCCATGTCATCAAAAGCTGCCTGTAAAAGATCAGAACATGTAAATATCTACACCAAGTAATATGTATTATTACTCTAAGTGACCGTAAATTAAATACAAGCTCTGTAGATTCATTCAAACTCTAAAAATCAACGTGTACTTTCCGCCCAGCATGCTCCTCTTCCCTTGCACGTGTTCGCCAGGCTAAAGGAAAGCTAACAGCTAGCAGCTACTAGCATAGTTCCCCACACACTCAGATCTCGTCCACCCAGCATTGAGTCATTACCTGGTCACGGTGGATCGTGTTCAGTAAAGTTCACACTGACACTCAGGTCCGTCAGAAAGTATGAAAAACACATGATGGAGGCTCCGGAAGTTCAGGGGCGACTCCTCACGGAGCCCGAGCAGGAGAACAAGACCGGAGATCTCGCGCGAACACGACTTTATAGGTAGGAAACGTCACAGATCACGTGGCTCGTGAGTGGGTGTGGTCGGAGTTATGTTATTAATGCACAAAACTAAAAACATGTTTTTTAATTTATAGTTATAAATACAAACCTCGAGGCAAATAT